TGATAGGGCTTTCACTGTATCTTTAGAGCAACCTAGGCAGTATTGTTACCTTAACAATATTAAGCATTGGTAGTACTGATCCTTGAGCACTGACTGTCGTATTTATTTAGGTCATCTTTAGTTTTTCTCAACAATGTTTTGTAGTTTTCATAGAACAGTCATAACCTCCACAGGTTCTGCATCCACACATTCAACCAATTGTGGATCAAAAATACTGTATAAGTTTTGCACTTCTTTTGTTAAATTTATTTCTAAGTATTTATTCTTTCTGATGCTTTTATAAATGGAAGTTTGTTCCTAATTTTATTTTTGGATTGTTCATTGCACGTGCATAGAAATTTGTGTATGGATTTTGCATCCTGGAATCTTGGTGAACTCATTATTAGCTCTAATAGCCATTTAGTGGATTTCTTAGGATTTCCTGTAAATAGAATTATGTCATCTCCAAATAGATAAGGTTTTACTTCTTTGTTCCAACCTGGATATGCTTTATTTTATTTTACTCCTAGTTACCCTGGGTAGAACTTCCTGTACAGTGTTAAATAGAAGTGGCCAGAGTGGACACCCTTATCTTGGTCCACATCATAATTTGATCTTAGGGAGAAAGCATTTCTTTTTTTTACCATTAAGTATGATGTTAGTACTTTTATAGTACTATTATAGTTAGTTTTTTATAGATGCCCTTTATCAAGTTGAGGAAGTCCCTTCTGTCCTAGTTTATTGAATGTTCTTTTTTCTTTTTTTTTTTGTATCATGAAAGGGTGTTGAACTTTGTTAAATGCTTTACATGTGTCTGTTTAGATGAGTGTGTGGTTTTTGTCCTTTATTCTATTAATATAGTATATTGCATTGCATTGATAGAGTTTTGTATGTTAAGCCAACCTTGCATTCCTGCTATCAATCCCACTTGGTCATGGTGTGTAATTTTTATATGCTGCTAGAATATCTGTTTGCTAGTATTTTGCTGAGCATTTTTATGTCTGTATTCATAAGTTTCATAAACAACATTCTGTAGCTTTCTTTTCTTTTGATGTTTTAGTCTGGTTTTGGTACAGGATAATACTGGCTTCATAAGATGAGTTGGGAAATATTCCCTCCTCTTCTTTTTTTAGAAGAGTTTGTGAAAAGGAGTGGTATTACTTC